TCTGGAAGTTTCGCCACGGCTTGGACGGGCGGTGCTGTGATGCCGACGCCGGGCGCTAGATTCGGGCAGCGACCGTACCACAACAGCCCAAACACAACAGTTCGAACGATTTGCGATGGTGGTTACGACTGAATTGGCCTACTTAATACTTTTTGAGGCCATGGCCTCCACGCCATATTCTATCTCCTGCTCGTCTTTCCCGTTGTCTTTGTCCTGTCCCGCCTTGTCCTACTCGTCCTCATCGTCGTCGTCCTCCTATTCAACAGTCTCGTCCCCCTTCACGTCCTCCCCGACCTCCCCCTCTGCATCCGTGCTGTCCTTCTCGTCTTCACTGTGCCGTCCTCCTACCTCTCCTCATCGATTTTGTCGTCCTAGTCTTCCTCCTCGTCTTGTGCTTGTCTTTCTTCCGTGGTCCTTCTGGTCCTCCACGCTTTGTCCTCGTTCTTCACGTTGTTCTCCACTTCGGCCGCCTCCTTGTCGTCTTTTTTCGTTTCACGGGCCGAGTGGGCACATGTGGTGCTTTCCCTTGTTGTCTTGTCAGATTTGAGCAGATGTTCGGACGTGTGTCTCGTTGTACTTGAGAACGCGCCTGGAAATCTTGAAAGTTGACGTGATGGCCGACTTTGTGATCAAGTTGTCGTCCTGTGCGTTTGCTCGCGTGGATTGTAAGGCGTTCAGCGAGCAGGTATTTTTTTCCAATCCGGCGTAGGTTCGCCGCCAGTTGCCAGAGACCATTATGAAATACATGGTAGATCGGATGAGTCTTTTCTACGGTGACTGGCCAGACGCGCTGTATGTGTAAAGGTCGATACCGATTTGATCAAGAAGCTGCCGACATGGTCAACGACGTGTACGTATTTGGCCGCATGATTACGTTTCAATGATTTGGCCGAAGATTCGAGCGATTACGGTTGGCCAGTATCAGAGGGCTGGAGTCCGTGTTATTTGCGCGGTCCATTGGACTGGCGAGGAGTGGCGAGTCAAAGCGTCGCGCCATGCCACGAGCTCGTGAGAGGGCTCAGATAAAAGACCGCGCTTGGGTTTGTATTAGCCCCGCCGGATGGCATGAAGTTAGGCCATGCCCAGACGCGCCAGTGGGCGGTAATGATTCGTCTCGGTACTAAACAAACTCGCCGTGGGTTTACTCATTGAAGCCTGCACATTTCAGGGGCAAAGATAGGGGGTGGATATGCTCAGGGGGGTGCCTCGACCTGGATCGTCCATTCATCGGCGATAGGGGCCCGATAGGCCACCCAGCCCTGGAACGTGCGGATTCGCGGGGCCTATCGCCGATCTATCGGCGATGTATCGCTGATGCCCCGGGGCTTTTCCAGGAGGGGAGGAGGGGGAGGGCGGGGAGGAGGAGGGGACGTGGACTGGGACAGGAACGGAGGGATGAGGACGGGGAGGAGGAGAATGATAACCATGGCGACGACGATGACGACGGTGAGATGATGATGAGGATGATGCGGATTATGAGGAGGCTGCTGCTGCTGCTGCTGATAATGATGCTGATGATGCTGATGCTGATACTGTTGCTGATGCTGATGCTGATGCTGTTGCTGTTGATGATGATGATGATGATGAGGACGATGACGATGACGATGCTGATGATGCTGATGATGACGCCGATGATGGTGATGATGATGATGATGATGATGATGATGATGATGATGATGATGACGATGATGATGATGATGATGATGATGATGATGATGATGATGATGATGTGTGGTGCTGAGAATGCTCATGATGATAATGCTCATGATGATGATAATGATGATGCTGATGCTGATGACTGATAATGCTGATGATTGATGACAGTTGATGATGATGCTTATGCAGATAAGGGTGATGCTGATTGATGATGATTACGAATCTGATGACTATTCTGCTTCTGATGATGCCGACTATGGTGATGATGATGCTGCTGCTGATTATGATGATGATGCTGATGATGATGATGTTAATGATGTGATGATGACGATGATGATGATGATGACGATGATGATGACGATGATGATGAGGATGAGGATGATGACGATGATGGTGATGGTGGTGGTGTTGGTGATGATGATGATGATGACGATGATAGTGATGATGACGATGATGATGATGATGGTGATGATGATGATGATGATGATGAGGATGAGGATGAGGATGAGGACGATGATGAGGATGATGATGATGCTGATGATGATGATGATGATGATGATGATGGTGTTGCTGATGCTGATGCTGATGCTGAGGCTGAGGATGATGCTGCTGATGATAACGATGATACTAATGATGATGCTGATGCTGATGATGACGATGCTGATGCTGATCATGATGCTGATGATGATGATGCTGCTGCTGATGATGATAATAAAGACGATGAGGATAATGCTAATGATGCTGATGATTCTGATGATGATGATGAGGATGATGATGATCATGATGATGAGGTCGATGAGGATGATGATGATGACGATGACGACGACCACGACGATAAGGATGAGTATGAGGATGAGGATGAGGATGATGAGGATGATGAGGTCGATGAGGATGATGATGAGGAGGAAGAGTATGATGGTGGTGGTGGTGGTGATGATGATTGTTGTTGATGATGATGATGATAGTGATGATGATGATGATGATGATGATGATGATGATGATGATGATGATGATGATGATGCTGCTGATAATGATGATGATGATGCTGATGCTGATGATGCTGATGATGTTTCTCATGATGATGCTGATGATGATAATGATGCTGATGATTGTTTCAGGCGATTTCCCCAACCACCAATTCACCTCCAGGCCGACATCCAGGAGCCACGCGTGTGCGCAAGGGCTCCCCCCTGCTTGAGCGCCCGGGTCTAACCCCAAGGCGGGTCTGATCCGCCACGCCTGCGGCGAAGAAGAATAAGAAGATGATACCCTCCAAGTCCCCAGAGGGGAACTGCCGGCCCTGGGTCCAGCAGGAGAGACGGTCCCGCTGTCATTCGTCCGCTGATCTCCACATGTGAAAGGAAGTGAAACAAACCCTGCGTACGGGGGAACGTGCTGTTGCGATGGCGGGACTTCTTGCCCAGCCCTGGTGGTGGGGCCCCCTGGCGGGCTCTGAATGCTGCTTCCACCCCAGGCGCCAGAGCTCAACGATCAATGACCCCACACAGTGGCCCTCGGAAGCCCCAGAACAAGCCGGCGGTGGTACATGCGATGACCGTGCAAACCTTGTCGGGGGAAACTCTCGGACGAGAGGAAGGAAGGAAGGTGGAAATTATGAGGGAGTGGGAAGGGATATGGCTGTTCCCAGTTGTACATAAGGTTTGGTCGGCATAACCTTTATGCCGAAACCACAGGCCACTGCTGACGAAGGCCCGCTGCTGATGTGGGTGCTGCCGAACTTTAAATCTGCTGCCCTGTCACGCCTGCGGTGGAGGAAGACGAGGATGGTGATACTGATGATGAGGATATGTAGGTAGGGAGGAATATTCAATGAGAAGCAGCAGCTGTAAACTTCAACCTGCCAGAAAGTGTGTTCAGAATGTTCCGGAAAACGCTTCCCGGAACATTGTGAAACCAGTCCGTTCCGCTTCAACGCATTGCGGCACCCGTGCGGCCGCTCATGCTATACATCTTCGCAACACGATATGATATCTGCCATGCCACTGCCCGTCGGCCCCACGCTCCGGACGGCCAGCTGCTGGGGCGGAAGGGCGGCCGGTTATCACAGCCACGACATGTTTTGGAATTCCCGTGGTTCCTCATTCCCCTGACCGTGTTCCTGTCCCCCTCCTGTCGCTCTAAATAGGCTGCGGGTCGAAGCCGGGATAAGGAGCTTGTCCCCGCTGCAGCTGGCATGGCTGCTCCAGGGCATGCTTGCGGATTTATCGGCACAGCGTCTATGCTGGCAGACGCTGAATGCACTGCTAACCAGGCACTGCTCCCCACACAATGCTTGCACATACATAAGGTTCTGAACGTGGATGACGGAATAATTCCACTGTATGTGGCGACGCTGGCAAATGCTGAAGATACGAATGTGGCGCAGATGTGGAAGTAGTAGAAGTGGGGTATGCAATGACGGAGAGGACGATGTAACGAACTCACATGGAATAATCCTAGACCTAACTTGAACCCCCCGACGGCCACCTTGCCTGGCTTGGGTACAGAAATGTATGATGTATGTTTTAGGCGATTTCCCCAACCACCGATTCACTTCCACACCGACATCCAGGAGCCACGCGTTTGCGCAAGGGTTCCCCCCTGCTTGAGCGCCCGGGTCTGACCCCCAGGCCGGTCTTATCCGCCACGCCCGCGGCGAATAATGATATCAATATTACGAAGCGGATGATGATGATGGTGATGCTGCTGATGATGATGCTGATGATGAAGATGATGCGGATGCTGCAGCTGATGATGAGGATGGTGCTGCTGCTGCTGATGATGATGATGAGGATGCTATTGATGATGATGCTGGTGTTGATGCTGATGCTGACGATGCTGATGCTGATGCGAATGCTGATGATGATACTGGTGTTACTGATGATGGTGATGATGATGATGATGATGAATATTGCGATGACGATGCTGACGATGATGACGATGCTCATGTTGACGATGCTGATGATGATGGTGAAGGTGATGGTGATGGTGATGGTGATGGTGATGGTTATGGTGATGATGATGACGATGATGATGATGATGATGATGATGATGATGATGATGATGATGATGATGATGATGATGATGATGATGATGGTGATGATGATGATGATGATGACGACGATGATGATGATGATGATGATGATTATGATGATGATGATGATGATGATGATGATGATGATGATGATGATGATGCTGCTGCTGCTGATGCTGATGATGATGATGATGATGATGATGATGATGATGATGATGATGATGATGATGATGATGATGATGATGATGATGATGATGACGATTACGATGGTCTCCCCCAGCCTCTCTCGCCCTTCGCCCCCTGCACGGAGGCGGGGCGCCAGCCGCGCCGCCGCGCCTCTGGCGCGTGCCGCCGAGGCGATGCCCCGAGCCGCCACGGCGGAGGCGCGCGGCGCGCAGGCCCGGCGCTCCTCGCAGGACGAGTTCGCCTCCCCGAGGCGCCTTCTGGCGGCCTCTGGCGGTCTCGGGCGGCCTCCGGCGGCCTCTGGCAGCCCTCGGCGGCTTGCGGCGGTCTGCGGCGGCTATCGGTGGCCATCGGCCCATTGGCGGCCCGCGGCGGCCTGCGGCGGCAAATGGCGGCCAGAGGAGGCCCTCTGGCCGGGCAGCGGCGCAGCTGCGAGTCGGACGCCCGTGGCTCGCCTGCCGGGCTGCGTCTTTTGGGCTTGGACGGGCAGGCGGCGGGGGATCGCCATGGGTCCTCAGGGAAACCGGTCCTGGGTTGTTTTGGTGTTTTCGGCCTCTCGGAGTCCTCAAGGGGCCCCCGGGCTTGTCAGAAAACGATTCCGGATGAAGAATTCGTCCTGGAGGAAGGGCCCGCTTCCCCCATTCTGAAGGGGCTGAGGGGGGCGGGGGGGAGCTGGCAACAGCTTCGTCCAACCTAAGCCCATCCCTACTGGGCCATGGTATGTCAGCCCCACCAGCCCACCCTCCTAGGTGGGGATAGTCCCTGCGAAATCCGAAGGAGCAGGCGTATCTCATCCCACTAAGGTGGCTCAGTTGGCCAGTGGGGCCAAGGCCACGCCAGTGGGGATAGGGATCGGTTAAACGATGCTCACGGCAGCGCCCAGTCCTTGAGCGGCTGCTCCCAGCGGTTAGGCTGGTCTTTACTCCGACGGGTGCCGGCACCGGGCGCCGTCCTGCTCCCTCTGACGGGCTGCGCCCTCTGCCACAGGCCCTTCTGGCTGCGCCGTCTTGTTGGCGGCGCACAGACGGGGATAGGCGGAGGCGGGAAGGTTTCTTAGAAGGTTTCTTAGAAGCACCCCTGCTTTTTAGAAGGTGCTGGCCTCGTCTACAGATGTAGGGCCGGCGCCTTCTCAGGAGCAGCCGCCTCCTACGAAGCCTTCCCCCCTCCCCCTCCACCCCCGCGCGCGCCGCCAGTCTTGTGGACTCTCCTCGCTCGCCGGCTTGCGCGTCTGGAGCGCGCGACGTCGATCGCCGCCTCGCCGCTTTGCAGCCCGCCGCGGGCGGCGGGGCGGCGGGACAGCGGACGGCGGAGTGGGCAGCGGCCGCGGGGGGCGGGGCAGCCGGCAGGGCAGCGGAGCAGCCTCGGTCGGCCTGGGCCCCCGCAGCGCTGGCGCCCCCGCCATCTCGTCCGATGTTTTCTCGAGGCGGATCACTGCGTGGTCTCGGTGGTCGGGGGTGGTGGTGGTCATGTTTCTCAGTCTGCCCCTCGAGGATTGTGGGAGGAGGGCATCTTGCGTCGGCATCCGTTTGCGGGCGGAGAGCAGATTCTCTGGTCCAGCGCACTGTCCCATACCTGCCGACCTCCTTGATTCACGCTCGCATTTTGTCGGGGGTGGACGGAACTCCCACCCTGACACGTCGATCGGTGAATTGTCCGTGTTCGTCTCTCGAGAGGGCGCCGCGGCCGCCGTGATTTTCCAGGCTTGCGCCCGCCAGGTTTGGGCCCGAGGTCGTTTTCACTGAACCACGTTTTGCTCCAGGGGTTCTGTCCATCCCCGAGGTGAGGTGCCGTCGCTGGATTTTGCGAATATCGTTGACAGGCTTTGGACCAATTGTGGACTGGGTGGAGAGACGTGCATGTTAGTCGAGATGTCTCTGTTGAGGATGTCATCTGTGTGTGTCCAAAGCCCTTCGGCAATCCCGCCAGCGTGCCTGGGTTCTCGGTCATAAGCCTCTTGGATGTTCGTGGGGATGTCGTGCGAGGCCTCTGGCGGCCGCTTTGAGGCCTCTTGGGGGCCTCTTGGGGGCCTCTTGGGGCCTCTTTGGGGCGTCTCGTGGCCTCCTGGGGGTATCCTGGGGGTATCTTGGGGCGGAAAGCTCGAATTGTCGGTTGGCCCCATTTGGGGCCGTCTTGGGGCTCCCTTGGGGCCGCTGGGTGCGCCTCTCGGGCCGTCTTGTGGCCCTCTTGGGCCGTCTTGGGGCCCTCTTGGGGGCCTGTTGGGTCGTCTTCGGGCGATCTCGGGGTCCTCTTGGGCCGTCTTGAACGCAGTGAGGCCGAAGAGTCGTATGTGCCCTCTCCCTCTGTATAGATATATGTCGAATGGCCTTCGGCAAATCCCGCCAACGTGCCTGGGTTGTGGGTCAGAGTTTTCAGGGGTGCTTGTTGGGGTCTCATCGGAGCGCTCAGGGGGGCTTCTTGGTGGCAGTTTCGGGGCCTCTTGGAGGCCTCGGGGCCGAGGGCTCGAAATGTCCGTTCGGGTTCCCGATTTGGGACTCCTTGGATCCGTCTTTGGGCCCTCTTGGGCAGTCTTTGGCGCCTCTTCGTCCGTCTTGGGGCCCTCTTGAACCGTCTCGGGGCCTTCTTGGGGGTCTGTTGGGCCGTCTTGGGGCCATCTTGGCGGTCTCTTTGGTCGTAATGCAGGGTCGAGGAGCCGAACATGAACATCCTTCAACAACCTTAGGCATTCTACTAATTTTTGCTTCTTGGGGCCCTCTTATGAGGCCTTTTGCGGTTTCTCGGAGGCCTCTTGGGCCGTCTTGGTGTCCTCTTGGGGGCCTGTTGGGTCGTCTTGGGGCGATCTTGGGGTCCTCTAGGGCCGTCTTGAACACCGTGAGGCCGAACAGCCGTACATGCTCTCTCCCTGTATATATATAAAAATATACACACATATCCCCCTCTCCTTCTTTCTAATGGCCTTCACTTGCATATATATATATATATATATATATACATATATGCATATGTCTATCCATGCGTACATACAAACGTACGAACGTACGTACATACATACACACATGTATGTATGTATGTGTGTATGTGTGTGTCTGTCTGTCTGTCTGTCTGTCTGTCTGTCTGTCTGTCTGTCTGTCTGTCTGTATGCATGCATGCATGCATGCATGCATGCATGCATGCATGCATGTATGTATACATGCATGTGTGTATGCATGTATGTATGTATGTATGTATGCATGCATGTATGTATGTATGCATGCATGCATGCACGTATGTATGTATGTATGTATGTATATATGCATGCATGCATGCATGCATGCATGTAGGTAGGTAGGTAGGTAGGTAGGTAGGTAGGTAGTTATGTCTGTGTGTGTATGTATGCATGTATGTATGTATGTATGTATGTATGCATGCATGCATATGCATGCATGCATGTATGTATGTATGTATGTATGTATGTATGTATGTATGTATGTATGTATGTATGTATGTATGTATGCATGCATGCATGCATGCATGCATGTGTGTGTATGTATGTATGTATGTCTATGTATGTATGTATGTATGTATGTATGTATGTATGTATGTATGTATGTATGTATGTATGTATGTATGTATATATGCATGCATGCATGCATGCATGCATGCATGCATGCATTCATGTATGTTTGTATGTATGTATCTTTGTATGTATGTATGTATATATATATATATATATTATATACACATGTCTAATGGCTTTCGGCAAATCCCGCCAATGTGCCTGGGTTGTGGGTCAGAGTTCTCAGGGGTGCTTGTTGGGGTCTCTTCGGAGCGCTCAGGGGGGCTTCTTGGTGGCAGTTTCGGGGCCTCTTGGAGGCCTCTTGGGGTCTCTTGGTGGCCTCTTGGGGCCTCTTGGTGGCCTCTTGGGGCCTCTTGGGGGCCTCTTGGTGGCCTCTTGGGGCCTTTTGGGGGCCCCTCGATGCCGAGGGCTCGAAATGTCTGTTCGGGTTCCCAATCTGGGACTCCTCTTGGAGCTGTTCTTGGGCTCTCTTGGGCAGTATTGGGCGCCTGTTGGTCCGTCTTGGGGCCCTCTTGAACCGTCTCGGGGCCTTCTTGGGGGCCTGTTGGGCCGTCCTGGGGCCATCTTTGAGGTCTCTTGGGTCGTCTTGGAGCGTCGGGGAGCCGAAAAGGCGAGAAGGCCAAATCCCCCGAAACACCTATACGGATTTTTGCTTCTTGGGCCCATCTTAGGAGGCCTCTTGGGGCGTCTTGGAGGCCTTTTGGGCCGTCTTGGGGTCATCGAAAGTGTATTTGAGCGATTTCTCGGCGAATTGAATCTCTCTAGGACCGTTCTGGGCGGTCATAGCTTCCAGAGGACCCGCGGGACCCCCTCCCCAGAACTCACGGGGTCAGCCCGGGAAATCCCGGAAAGGCTTGGGAACCGACTGGTCCAGGTCCTTAGAGACTTACAATTCTCGCTGCAGCAGTGGCACAGCCTCTACCTTTCAGTGCTGCATGAGCCTAGGGGGCGCTCCACTTCGTGCAAGAGGCATGCTATGTGTTTATATACAAATGTATCTGGACTTGTTATGTATATAGACAAACAAGCATACATCTATAATTACACATATACGCATATATATATACATGTATATATGTATGTATATATATATATATATATATATATATATATATATATATATATATATATCAGAGTAAGGGGGCTGAGCCGAACGGTCATTCACTGTCCCTGGGTGCGTGGCTGAAGCGGAATTCTGCGATGCGGATTCTTGAATTTTCATTTCTGAAGAATATTTATTGTTGATCCCCCCCACCGGTGCATATTGTTTTATCTCAATCAAAGTGTGCCCCTCGACGCTCGCACCCTGTTTTTTGACAGGGAAAGTCTTCCTGCTCAAACTGGGCCCTGGCCCCCCGCGTTACAACAACAACGGCTCCCGCCTGAGACTTCCTTACAATTTAGGCAGGACCCCCGCTCCCGCCCGAGATCTCCTCACATTTTATTCAGGAATCGCGCTCTCGCTGGGGAATTCCTTACAATTTATGCAGGAATCGCTCTCCCGGAGTTCTGGAGTCGCGCTCTCGCTGGAGACTTGCTTGCAACTTACTGAAGACTAGCCTTGCGTTGGAATTTCTTGCAATTTGCCCAAGCGCCGCGCTCCCGACACCCAGGCACCCAGGAGTCGCGCCCGTTGTGGCCCCATGTGCATGCCCTTTGTGGCCCCGCTGTCGCCATTTGTGTCCCCCTCACTGTCCTACGTGGCCCAGTTGCTACCCTCAGTGGCCCCATAGTTGCCT